CACACACACACACACACACACACACACACACACACAAAGGAAAACTCAGTACTAATTCTTCCAGGAATTCTGACATTTTCTAATATATGAACAACAATCATATACAAAAAGGCTTGCTGTGTCCTGCTAATCAAAAACTACTGGAGATCACATAAAACTGATCCAGTGAAGACAGTCACATAAATTACATCGTATAACGCAGCACAGCAGAGGTACGGAAACATAACATAGACAGCCTTCAAGTTGCACATTTTAATTTACAATATTTACCAGTAAAAAGGATTAGTTACAAAAAGGAAAGCTGTCTGTACAAAATAAGTTTTTTTTTCACATTCATAAAGAGAACCCACTGTGATGTCTTAGCTTGTGAAGTCAAAACTCAAATATCTCGCTTTGGTAATCCAGGCAAGAAAATAAAACTATCAGCTTCCTACCCATGTCTGGAAGAAAAACTCTAATGAACATTTTGCCTTCAACAGGGAAGTTCTACACACTTGCAGACTCTTAACAACCAGTGCTCTCGGGAGCCAGCCTGCTAAGAGAGCACAGAAGGATCTCTTGCTCTCTCGCTAGTAGAGTCCTTTCCGAGTTCGAGCCTCCACCTTGCACAGGGAGAGCACGTGCAAGGCCATAGGGAGAGTGGCGTTTGGAATTTTACAAACACACGTTATCACAGCCTCAGGTCAGCAGGAGAGCCGGAGAGTTCAGGTTCAGCCTCTCTCCACCCAAGAGTGTATCATACAAATTAAACATGGAGAGGCACACCAACTCATGAAACCGAACTCTTTCCAACTCCCATCACAGTTTTAATGCGCAGACAAAGACAAGTCATACTGTTAGGGCCCATTTCCTGCAAGGAACCAACCAAAGTGTCAGAAAGCTTTTGACTGCATTCAAAGTATAGCGGCCATGACACTGCTCCCAGCAGCCTGGATTCAGAAAGAAAGCATAAAGTAACTATATAAAGCACTGTAGCCTTCAGAAAACTTTATTTAGTGATGAGCTGAGCTCAGCAGCCAGAAGCCCACCCGTAAAAAGGGGAGTGGGTCTGATTCACAAAGTGTATACATGCATGACCCAGGACAAGAGACACGAGTAAGTCTAAAGCTAGTGGAGACTCTAATTCCGTGTGACTTACTCAGGTGTGCCTCTGTTAGCCTCCAAACCTGATTGACACGAATCCCAAGAGCCGTAATTCCCTCACCATTAACAAGACACTTGACCGGAATTAAGGGACAAGAACAAAATGGAAGAAAAATTTCAAGAGTCTGACGCTCTCTCCTCCACCGACTCAATGAACACACACTCACAATGAGGATGAAACGGAATCAAGCCCCAGGCTGGCCTCCAAGGACATCTGTCTGGCCAGTGTGATTTGGAACCGCCTAACACAACCCAGCACAGCACCACTGCTCTGGGTACACAATGCCAGCCCACCCCATGGAAGAAACACAAGGAGGTCATGTTTAAACCCATTCTCTGTGTTAGAAGCACCTCCGCTATAGTTCTGATCACTTGGCTTAGGGGGAGAAAAGAGGGTAGCAACAACTCCTAAACCTCATTATCCCAGCCTGAGCCCTCACTGACTCAGTGGTGCTTTTTGTATAAAAATATCTGAGGAGGCAGCAAATGGCTGCACTGTTGTCAGGCTGACGCAGTCCCCACAGCTGAGAAAGCGCTTCATCCAGTCTTCTCCCTACTGTCACAGTCCTGCCAGGGACAGCTGAGAACCAGGCGTGAACAAGCTCTTTGTGACCAAGCTTTGGCAAAAATCAATACATAAGAGTTTGTCAAAGGCAAAACCATTTTGTGAACAACTCTAGCAGCAACCCTGGGGACGTGTGTGAGAAAGAGGAAGGGGCCCTTGGGTGGGGCTTGGCTAACCAACCCCACTTGGCCAGCCCATTATTCAGACGGAAAGGGAGGAAGAGAAGACACCAGCAAATGAGTCGGTTTTAAAATCTGCACAGCTGATATTTGTTCTTCACAGCAGTAAAGACTTGAATGGGAAGCATGAAACTTGAGCAACACTTGTATTTTCCTTCAGGGTTAAAAAATCTCATCTTGTACTCAAAGACTACATTCAGCGTGGGTCAGGTCCGAGCACGGCAGCAAAACCTTGGCCATTAAGCGGGCCTGGCAGCGGGAGGGCACTGCCATCTGCTTCGCACGGCTGGTGGGCAGGTCAGGGGCTGCTCCTCACTGGTCTCCAAGTCGGACGCCCTGGCCCCAGTTGTGTCTCCCGCCTCCATTCTCATCAGCAGCTCGCCTCATGCTAGCAGGGGGCACCCCAAACCCGGACACCCCTCCTCTCCTGTTGGGTAGCCAGCGGTACCTGGAGTAGAGAGAAAAAGAGACAAGCCAGTCACTTGTGGACTACCTTCCAGACATTTGTCACACCGAGAGACCAGGGACACTGGCTGGCTTATTTAGCTTCCCTTTTCAGCACTTAGTGCCATGCCCTGGCCACAGATGGCAACTGCTTTTCACATTCCTTAGCTTTATCGAGCTTTCAGTTAGATGCACCCATTACAGAAGGAATGTATGCAAGCCAACATGGAAAGAAAAGGATCGCACACACAAGCCCGGCAAGCATGAGGCACACTGGTGTGCCAGCATATCAGACCAGATCACAGAACTCAAAATGAGCTCACTTCATTTGCAGAGGACAAACCCCAGGCAGCATGCCTGAGCCCTTCTCAGCCATCTCCACAGTTCTGCGAGGAGTCTACCAGAGCCGTCTGGGTCGGCGCTCTCTGTCTTTAAGCTATGGGTTCTAGTTCACTCATGACCTGCCATCCAACTGCACCCTTGCCATCACAGACAGGCTCAAAGTCACGTGATCTCTCACCTTACAAACTAATAAGCCAGACATCACAGGACAGCTAACAAAACTTCAGCCCATGCCTTTGTTCTCAGTAACATTGTCCAACATTCTAAAGTTTAATTTTTTGCTGGGAGGCGGGGAGTACAAACTGATACCCTGGTTTTAAACCCTTTGCACCCAGAATACGTCATGACAAGTGACTACTCACATCAACACCCAACACCAGCACAGCCTTACAAGAAAGCAGCTCACTGTTCAAGGGACACCTGTAGTTGTTTAGAAATTCATTGGATTGTCACAACAACCCTGTGAGGACACCACACACACACACACACACACACACACACACACACACACA